CTGACAAGTTATTCTTATCATTACAAACAATATAAGTTAGTTTTGGATTGACACCTTAATTGTTGGTTTAGTGGAGCTAAAAGAATAATTACCTTTAGATTGTGTGAATCTGTCTTTTTGGTTCAGATAAATTTGTGTTAGCTATGGTTGCCAATTGGTCACATATTTTATATCTATTTATGCATTGCTGCTGCAATATGATGATCTTACTCTACCTCTGTTAATTCCTTGTGGGTTCAGAGATTTCAAACTTCTGTTTGTATTGAATCATAATTTTAATCTTATAGCTCATTCCACAGCCTTGTTTTCTTTTGATGCAGAGGATCACAGTAGATTGAGTCCATATCTATCTTTTATCAGTGGTGGGTTAGCAGGGTTTGCAGCTCAAATTGGGTCTTATCCATTTGATCTTCTAAGGACCATATTAGCTTCACAAGGCGAACCAAAGGTTTAGCATTCAACTAACATTAAGACCTTATTTTATCTTCTAAAATAACTTATTTAGGCTAGGATATGAATCCTTGCACAATTTATGTGCTCATTTCCTCTTCTGGACTCTTTTTATTGTTTCTCGCAAGGTACATATATGAAAATCGAAAGCGTAAGCATTACTCATTATGGAGAAAATTTTGGTAGGATTTTAATATTGGGGCTAGCCAAGAGGTTTCTTATTCACTATACCTATAATTGATTAGAAGATCTTGCTCAAGATATTGAAGTTCCTGCTAATAAGAGTCTTCAACTAAACCATGTTTCTGCATTATTGCTTTTCATGGTTAATGTTCTAGATGCTGTGCAATTTTAACTGATGATACTTTTGAAATGATAGCTCTTTTTAGTATTGGCTCTAACAAGGAATGCATTCTCTTGTTTTTTATCTGCAATGGCATTAATTGTTAAAGGCTACATGTAGGTCTATCCAAACATGAGAGCTGGATTCATTGATATAATCAGAACTCGTGGCATCAGAGGATTGTATGCTGGGTTGTCTCCTACGTTGGTTGAGATTGTTCCTTATGCTGGTCTGCAGTTTGGAACCTATGATACATTTAAGTGCTGGACTATGGTAAGGTTTTGGCTCAATTATTTTAGTCCTTTACTAAAAATTTGAGTGTATCTTATTTCCATGACATATTTTACTTTTATGATGAGGAAAAATGGAGTTTATAGCTTCTATTGTCAGATCATTAATTTCATTGAATATAGAATAGTAGGTAACGTGCAAATACTTTTGCTTCTCATGTACTTGCTGATTGTTTCAAAATCTTGAATATTGGTTTAGGTTCCTAATTGGGGCCTGGCTAGGGAGGTTTTTTTTTTTAATGATTCATATAGAAAAAGGAAAGAAGAAAAAACTGGAACATTGTGAATCACTGGAGTAGAAAGTCCTGAAATAATTTTCTGAATTTCTGCTGATTTATATGGCACTGCTTTGTATTCTATTCTGATCATCATAGGCCTGGAAACGATTGAGACATTCAAAAACAAACTCAAGTAGTGCAGATGCTTATCTTTCAAGCTCTCAACTTTTCCTTTGTGGGTTTGCTTCTTCAACATTGGCCAAACTTGTATGTCATCCACTTGATGTAGTCAAGAAAAGGTTCCAGGTAAATTTCAGGAGTTCTTGAAATCTGTTGGTTAAGGTTAATGTTGGGATTTATCTGAAAATACTGTGCTGTTCATGCTGTAAATTGTTCCCTGTTACAACTTAATTATGTTAAAACTTTCTTATTTTTGGCCATCGCAGATTGCAGGATTGGCAAGAGACCCCAAATATGGTGCTCGGGTTGAACACCGTGCTTACAACAACCTGTTTGATGCCTCTAAGCAAATCTTGCAGTCAGAGGGTTGGGCTGGACTTTATAAGGGCATTGTCCCATCAACTGTCAAGGCTGCACCTGCAGGGGCTGTGACATTTGTGGCTTATGAAGTGATTTTAAATTGGTTAGATTCAACATTTTCAATTGAACCTTGAACTTCACCATCATGGTGTATTCAATAAAATTAAATTTTTTTTGGTGCTAATAATGTCAAGACTTGAATACAGAACAAGAAAACATTCATATGTTATATGAACTAAGAACAAGAACAAACCGAAATGAACTAAGAACAAGCTGTTATGTTGAAAGAACCAATTCACTTCAAAACAAGAATTTTGCAACAAAACATGAAGTAAGAATATAAATTCTCTCATGCATTCAATTTGCAGGAGGTGGGAACAATGCACCAATGTCATAGAATGAACAACTCCGACTTGAAGTTATAAACTGGTGAGCAACTTCCATCTTCCAACCACCCAAACAGTAGTTGCCACGGCAAATCTGCTAGATATATCGAATCCCCCATGCGCACAAGATAGTTTGTGCAATCTTCTGTGAAGTAATCGAATTCCCTTTGCAACTCACGAGATTCTTTGTGGGCATGGAGATGTAGTACTACATAAAGTTTGTTTTCGTGACAGATAACGTCTAGGTATGTAATTCCTTCATGATCAGCATCATTAAATTTGCTCCATGAAGTGTCACCATTCCTATAATAAACAACATTTTTCCAGCAGATCAGCAAAAAACAAGCCTGTAGATGCCAACAGTTTCCGCACTCAAAATAGCTTTTTGAAGATAACATAACGGGAGCGTGCCCAGGGAGGAAAGTTAAAGGGTTTAATAGGAAGAAAGCTAGTGATGATCCAATTAATGCATGGGAAACTCATCAAGAAACATACTCGATTGTTGAAAGTTGAAACACAACTACTTGTCCTCTAATGTAAGATTTTAATTTATTGATGGGTATAATACAATATGTACAATATAAGTTATATAACAACTGCAAATTAAAATTAATTAGGGACCAACACATCAAGGAAAGAAATCTAAAATGGGTTCCGCATAACATTAAAAACAAATGCATCCCATTCCAAGAGCCCTAAACTTTAGTCTCGCTCTCAATATTTGTAATGCATGCTACTCTTTATGACCTATAAAATCAAGTTAGATCTTAAATATAATTCAAAAAATTTCACATATTTAAGATATTATATTCATCAATTGTTAGTTTTTTTTTTTTTTTTTTTTTTTTTTTTTTTTTTGTTATTCATCAATTGTTATATTAGCCATCACTTTTTTTGCTTAAAGTTCAATCTAACTTTTTTCGTTAAGCATTGAAAAGGATTTTTTTTTGAGGTGCACCTTAAACCCTAAATTTAGATTTTGGAGTTGTCCCTTACATAGCTTTTACAAAAACATCTTCTCTACCTTGAAACTTCGCTTCGTAGTTTTTTTTTTTTTTTTTGGTGCTTACATCCATTGACAAGAAAATAAGAGCAGGCAAGTAATTAAGCATATGATTGGGAAAAAATTGTAACCTTGCTCTTGATTTGCTTTTGTTTGCAGCATAGATAAGTCCTCCAATTTCATGAAGAACCACAGAATCAAGAGATTAATTTTTTTTTATTTAAAATAAAAATGATTTTCGTATATCAAATGACAAGAATGAAACTAACAAAGCATCTAGCAGTTTAGGGGGTGAGGGAGCTTGCAACAACCTTTCAAGAACAATGATATTCTCAACAATATAGCTCACTCACACGGATCCAATATGAGACGAAATAATTGATAACATTATATATATATATATATATATATATAAAGCCATATAGGTGTCTTCTATGTTTTTATTTTAACCCCCTTATTTTGTTATAATTTATAATGAGTAACAAAACTGCTTTATTATTATTATCAAAAAGGAAAAAAATCTAGCCATGTTGCATCTTCACATTCTCAACCCCTTAGTCATACATTATATTTGTTAATTTGCAACAATAATAACAATAATAATAACAATAACAGCAATGCCTTCTCAATAGTTTTTAATTGTAATAATAATAATAATAATAATAAAACCCCACGTATCCACCTTAGTACCTACATTCGGCACGTCAATAGCTATTATGCAGCAAAAATCAGACTGTTGGAAAACAATTAATTTAAACAATTAATTTGAAAAGGGTTAAAAGTGAGTAAATGTGCAAATAAAGATTTCAACTTTACTTCTTTTTTTTTATTTAAGAATGTTAATTTTTTTAATTTTTAAATAAAAATGTCAATTTTTAATTTTTTTCTAAATAAGGATGTCAATTTTTAATTTTTTTTTATTTAAGAATGTCAACTTTCATCTTTTTTTATTTAAGAATTAATTAAATAGTGATGTTGACGTTGTTAATATATTTTTTTAGGTTAAATGCCTAAATTGGTCCCTCAACTTTTATTTTTAAACCAATTCATCCTTAAACTTCAAAAAGTACCAAAAACATCCTTCAACTTTAATTTTCAATTTTGTCTTTCTGTCATTTAACTGTTGATGTAGCTAATTTTTTTTGCTAAGTGTTGGACTATTTTACATTTTCAATATTAGGTGAAAAATCCATCAAGTAAAAGATGATTATGTGGATCTTTTTAATTTTAAATAATTTAAAAACTACTTTAATTCTTAATTTTACTTTATTTATATTTAAAAATTAAAACATTTAATCTACTTTCCCATTTAATTAGTCCCACCTACCATTTAATAAAATTAAATAAAAGTTAATTAATTCTTCCATGAATTAGGAAATAATTTATTAATTGAAAATTGAAGTTGAAGGATATTTTCAGTACTTTCTGAAGTTTAAGAAAAATTGATTCAAAAATAAAAGTTGAGGGACCAATTCAAGTATTTAACCTAAAAAAATATGTTAGCCACGTCAACCTCACTATCTAATTAATCCTTAAATAAAAAAAAAAAAGTTAAAAGTTGACCTCCTTATTTAAGAAAAATTAAAAATTGATATCTTTATTTACAAATTGATAAAATTAACATTTTTAAATAAAAAAATGTAAAATTAAAATTCTTATTTACAGCTTTACTCGGTAAGAGGTATAAAAGAGGTTTACAAATATAAAAGTAAACAAATTGAGTCGTCTCCAGAGTGAGGCTGTGGTAGAGCCGCAATCATGCAAAACGGCTAGGTCTGTTCCAGAGGGTGTCAGCTCGAGATTGCCAGTAAAGAGTTTGATCGATTTAGGGAAGTTTGCGAATCCCAAAATTAACTGGACTAAGGGCTGGGACTTCTCGTGTTTATATGTTAGTAAATTGTACCAATATGGACTCAAAAGCTGCTAACTTTACTCAAAAGTTGGGTTAGTACATTGCAGCCCTTAGAAAAACACCCAGCAAATTCTGTACCAATCTGTGAAATCAATGAAAAAGTAATGTAATGCCATTCTGCTAAGAGCTCGAGGACATATAGAGAAATGAACATGCACACAAAAATTTCGACCTTTACAGATACATTCATATTACTAGCTTACCATGGTCAAGATTATGGTATTGGGCAAAAGGATTTGCAGGAAATGCTGTATTCACAGCAGCAGAAGTGGCTGATATGGCAGTGTAGAGAACCCATTTTCCTTCTGTGTTGAGAAGATAAAAAATGCTAGAGAAAGAGTGACAGATTATCAATTGAAATATAAGTGATAGCCTGGTTGGAGGTTTATAAATGGGGTTCCAGCTACTGTAATGGGCCTTAATTTCCATGTGTTTGCTTGTTGGAAACTGCAATTCAATGAGCTTGATTTTGGATTTGAGAAGCCTGTTCATGCAGGGCCAGTTGTGAGTGGGAAGGATGAATTTGTGCTGTTACTTTCTGATATATTGAAAGAGTGAAAATCACAATGAGAATGGGCGTAAATGATTTGGTTAGGCCTTGAAAAGAGAATAGCGTGGTTCATTTTAATGAAATACGATACCAAAGTTCTCCATGAATTCAGATTGAAAAATTGTCTAGTTTTACATGAATATTGTAACAATTAATCTGACTCAATCAAAGGCAAAGCTTGATGTGCCTTGAATAAAAAAGGTACGATATTTCATATAAAATTAAGCCTTCTATATATGTCCATCATGATGACTATTAATACCTTAGAGGCCAAATCAAATTGCTTTCTTTGTTCATATTAAATGATATCCTGTTAACTGAACATGAACAGAAATAATGGAAACAATGTCTTCTCCTATAAATTTCCAAAGTCAAACCTAGCTAGATACTTATGGTTGCAAACTAAGCTAGGTTCATTCGCCTCACCTTTATGGCATATATAGATTGACTAAATATTAATGAATCCATAAAAGTTTCTATTAATAACACATAAGAGAAAGATGATCAATGGTTTGTGTATTTCACATCTTATTTCTTTTCTTTTAATAACTATCAACTGGTATCATAAGTTAACTTTTATACAGAATAATAAATTTATTTAGATTAATTATTCAAACTAGTATTAGAAAATTTATGAAAAATTATCTCCATATTAACTTTCCAAAATTTAAACAGTGATCAACAATGTGCGAAGAAAACTCTCTTACCAACTAATCTACTATCTCTTCACATTCTTGCATTTTGCTCCCTTATAAATCATTTTCCAAAAGAAATTAGAATTTAATTATCTGGATGTCTGCAATGTATGAGACATGGACGACAATGACAAGGTTAATGAATGGAATTATAATGTAGAAAAACATAGGAAAATAAACAAATTGGGTGTATCACATTCATAGATATAATCATATATAAGGGAACTCTAGTTTGATGTATGACAAATTGTCGTACTATGTTCAAGTACAAGCCCCATTGGCTCACTTCAGCAACATACTTATTACCTACATAAGAGTTCTGGGAAAATCATAAATAATGTCTGCATAAATGTTTGACTAATTCTATATTTCCTTTCCTACTAGTTACAGAAGCTCTTCACCTTTACCTAATAAACCTGTATCTGATTCTGACATTATTGGATTATACGGATATTGCTTGAAATGCTCTATAGTTAAGAAAAAACTGCGCATGTGAAACACTTGATCTAATAGAGAATATCAACTAAGGATAGTTGTTTTGCAATTCGCCTTGTTTGTCATTAACGAAGAAGGGAACACCTCAATATCAAGTAATATTAAAAAATTTACTTTTTATTTTATTTTTTTTAATATAGTGCAATTATTTACAAGTTAATTGAAGAATTGAAAAAAAAAATTTAATAGGATTCAAACGTACAACTCATAAAAAATGAATAATTTTAAATTAAAATTCAATGCCTCTTAATCAAAGCTACCATTCAAAATTTATTTTCTATTAATAATTATAAAATATATAATTCACATCAAGTACGTCACTTTTGCATTTTAGCTATATAATATTGACTTTGGTTAGCAGTTGTTAGAATACTCTAATTTGTCTGCGTTAATCTCAAAAGATGCAATGAATATGGACAAGTGGCATACATTATTAAAGGACATAGTGCAGTGCATTTTGGATAAATAATAATTTTATTTTCTTTTGATTACTTTAATAGAAAGAAACTCGTGAAGTTTAGCTCTAAAACCCTAGTGGGAAATGGGAATGGGACAAACCCCAAATCCAGGTCAGATTACATAAAATAGGGGAGTCTTTGCCAGATGATTTGTTATACGTGGGATATTCTAAATTACGATTCCTAAGATTTTCAAGACTCCCACCAGCATTTCAAAAACTTATTCCCAGATTGTTTTCTGCCTCCTCCACTAAATAATCCTCTATTTGGGTGTCAATGTCAAGGGCAGCTGATTTTAAAGAAATTAAAGCATGTTTAGAGGAAGTTAAATAATCATCTGTGGATGTTAGGGGTGCTCTACTAGGTCCTCTTGTTGCTGTTGCTTTTGTAAGGGTTTTTTTTTAACTCTTTCTCTATATTTTCTGTTATGCCCAAGTTCCCCACTTTTCAGGAAAAAAAAAAAAATCTATGAACTTGAAAGGATACAAGCAAACAAACACAGTATAGACCAACAAATAGCATAAATTTCTTTAATGAACCATTCTAGCACTTTGATTTGTACTTGTGTACTTTCTCTGTTTTCTTGCCATGAATTCTAACAAGAATTTTTGAATCATTTCTTTCAAGATGTGGGTGGTGAGGACAGATAGAAAGGCAATCCTATCGTCAAAGTTCAACTAGTGAAAACAAAATTCATGAGTTTTCAAGTCCAGTCCAACTACTAAGGCATTAGTATCAAAAAGGGGTATGGTGAGTGGTGACCACTGACCACACATAGCTTTGACACTATCATGGAGTGAAATACTAAATTAAAAAGTTTACGATATTAGGGCACATATTAAGGATAAAACAATAGAAAATGGATATCATACATCATAGCAACCAACAGAATGATAAAACAGACCTGGAAAAGTGATGAGGGCTTAAGATGCATAAATTGTCTGCTTGAGTACTAATTGACAAGTCCACGTGTAAAATCCGCAACACAATCTCTGTAATCCTCCTCCACTCAATCTGATTTAAAAAGAGAGAAAAAAAAAAAAAAAAAAAGGGTTCATAAAGCCAATTAGTTTATACACTATCCCAGGAAATCAAGGAGAATGAACGTTGTCTGTTTGAGTACACATGATCGCCAAGTGTAAATTCCGACTTAAAATTCCCCTAACCCTCCACTCAATGTGCTTGAAAAGTAAAGAGTAGCCTGGTATTGTAACAATGAGTCATGGCATCTCCAATTTTTCTCTTTTTTCTTCTAGACTACCTTGGCAACTGCCAGCAGGGTCTTTACCAATAAAATACAGCCTAAGTGCAACTTTGATTCAAAAAGTATATGGTCTCTCTTTGACGAGGACAATACAAAAAAGCAGAGAAAAAAAAATTGCTATGCGGTCGCAAAGGATGACGCAATCTTAGAGTAAAACCTACGCGATTAATATTTAAATCAGCTCTACTTTCCTAAGCTGTTGCTAACTTTGATTTGAATTGAACCCACGCCAAAACATGATCTGTATTTTTTTAATTTAGACAAAACCCGCTTACTTGAACCTATTAAACTTAATGTTATGAGGCCTCGGTTAAAAACAATGCTGAAGTATTAGTATAATCTCCCACCTTTTCCTGGTGGAACAAACCATGCTTGCTCCAAGCTTATTGGTGAAGCAACTAATAAAACTAAAACTAAGGAAGACTAATTTCTAATAAAACACAACCGGCTATAAGGTTTAGGGTTATATTTTAAAATGACAAATAGCCTCCACTGTTGCATGCTGATGCAGCCTTAACTTACTTGAAAAGCATGAATCAACACAGAGGTCGACTTAGTCAACACACACAATGTATAGGGAATCACTAAATAGAATCATATACTCCAATAAAATTGGCTTAAAGACATATGGCCCCGCCATTGATGCCGACCGGATCATCTCATCACATGTCATATCAAAACGAGGAAGATATAGTATGAACGAGTATATATGTGCGCACATATGTAGGTCTCTGAGAAATTTTCCATATATATATATATATATATATTTATTTTATTTTTATAGATAAGAAGAGCGAGGAGGAGAAAGAAGTACCTCTTGACTTTTGATCAACAAATACTCTTGTTTCAACAAAGATTATCAAGTTATTTTCCAAGAATGGATGATAATGTTGGGAGTGCTGGTGCTGCAGATGATGATGGCTGCATCAAAGAGCAAGACCGGTTATTGCCAATAGCCAACGTTGGGCGGATCATGAAGCAGACTTTGCCTCCAAATGCAAAAATCTCCAAGGAAGCCAAGGAAACTATGCAAGAATGTGTTTCTGAGTTCATTAGCTTTGTCACTAGTGAAGCATCTGAGAAGTGCAAAAAGGAAAGGCGCAAGACTGTGAATGGAGACGATATCTGCTGGGCTATGGGAACTCTGGGATTTGATGATTATACCGGGCCACTTAGAAGATACTTGCAAAGGTATAGAGAGATTGAAGGAGACAGAGTAAATCAAGAGAAGGCAAGCAATAGCAATACTGAAGACAAGGAGGAACAATCTTCTTATGGAACTAACCAGCAAAGAAATCAAGCTGTAGATCCAACTCTATCCAGGTTTAACTTCATAGACAGGAGTAATAGCTCCAGTTCAAGGCCATTCAATTGAGGATTTTGAGTAGGTTCGACACCAACACAGTGATCTCTAGCTTTAACCATGATTTATATACTTTTGAACAAGATCAATTATATGGCCTATTTGCAATTTTGAATTGGTACTTCGATTCCATGTACCTGGTATCTTCCTGTCATAGATTTAGGCGTTTTGCCATGAACTCCCATATTTATGTAGCTAAAAATTCAATCCCAGCTTGTGTTTAGGAATTAGGTGTGGAAAAGTTTCAAGCTTCTGATAAAATATTAATGATTTCGCTAATTTTCTTGTTGCCAATATCTTATATGCTTGTTTTGCATCCAAGAAATGGAGATTAGAAGATATTTCAGTTTTCCAGATCAATTAGCACCAAGAAGAGAAGGCACAACACAAGGTTAGACCACTCATCTTATATATGCTGAATTTTCATTTGGAAAACTTAGCCTAGAAATTTTCTTACATTTAGCTCTATATATATTATCATCGGATGTAGCAGATCATGTAGATGATGATATTTGATTTTGATCCCATATCTTAATAATCAATCAAAGCAGCTTCTTCTTCTACCTCTTCTTCATCATCTTTTAGTTTCTTTCCTAAAATTTTGAGACAGCCTCCAGAAATTTCCAACACCAAACATACCACTATGAAGTTTTTCTCTCTAGTCCATTTTCTTTTCGTCCTTATTCTTTTTCTTGATGTCAAATAAGCCCACAGTTTTGTGGAATATGTATTAACTGGTAGGTGATGATCCAGTTAGAGTTACTTTAATCCGCAATTTCAGGACTTAATTTGGGACCACAATTCAGCTAATAAGGCTATGATTTCCACAAAAAATCAATATTTGAAGTTTATTGGACTAGAGATTTGACTTATACTAAGGCTTCTAGAAGATTAGGGTTTCTATAGTCCCCATCCAGAAAATGAGGGTTTTGGAATTTCGGGGTCTCCTTCATATTCTTTAAGGGTTCCACAGGAATTATGCCCCAGCTCCACATTAAAAGATGCAATAATGGGAAAGGATGGGAGACAAGATAAGCTAACATAGAAAACATCCACCAACCATTTGAGTTCCGTACAATGTAATGGTCTTCCCATAGAAAATCCCATGTTTGGTGATATCTATTTGTTTAGGAATCACCAAACATCTTATTAACTGGAACCAAACAAACAACTCTCTTTCTCTATGGTCATAGCCTCCTTCTCCTTACACAGCCATGGGCCAACTGTCTGCCACCCTACTGGCTAAAAATGAAGCAGATACAACCTTGAAAGGCTGAAACTCTCATTTGATACCAACTGTCAGCTTGACGTTTTTTTTTTTGTGTGTAAACCCCTTGTCAAAGATGCCATGCCCGCCAGTTTTCACTACTGTTTGTAGAGTACCTTTCCTTTCCCTCCTCCTATCTAAATGTAGACAGCATTGTTGCAACTTTCTACAAAAAGGGGGCAAATTCATTCTGTTTCTTTCTGTGTTTTAAGATTAGTCTTCTAATATCCTTCTGAGTCATTTCTTTTTGGCAAGAAGTATGTACATATGTAGGAAGGAATGTTGTAGGCTCCTAAAATAGATTCAATCTATCTTGAGTGTTTCATATGCATAATATTTAGGAGGTGGAAGCAAACTATGTGGGAAAGCAATAAAATTTTCCAGTTGCCTTCATATAAGGAGAGCAGAATCATTCACATTGTCTTTCAAGTATCTCGAGAGTTATCCTCTAGAAAATTAAAGTTAAGGCTTCTAGTGAGGATGCTTAGTAGTACTTTATATTTCTCAACTTTGAAACAAACTTTTATTGCTTTATTGATGTGTATATATGTAATCTAGCCATCTTCATAATATTCTTCTCAATTTCCCCTTTCTAATTCCTGAAGCAGTTTTAATCATGCAATAAATTAAAGAAATAAGAATCAATATTAGATGAAACACCTAAGCATGTAATAAAATTATCTCAATGATTGGTTACCAAGAAGCTAATCAGAATCATTACAGCAAAGCTGTGACCAACGATAGCACTTCTTGGTTAAATGAAGCTGGTAGAGGAGGAGATTGCTCACCTTATTGAGACCATTAAACCCTGCAAGTAACGGCTAGAAATGAAGAAAACTCAATCCACCAGCTGCCTATATATATCATGGGTTTGATTTCTAAAAATCCCGGAAATTTGATTTTCCTGTCAAATTGTAGAGATTCAAAGGTTCATCAAATGTATAATCAGGCTGTAAATAATTAGGTTGGGTTCGGAAGTTCTTAATATTCCATTTAAACTATTACCTGCCTTGAAAGTCAAGTACTGATTCTACTATACACTCTTTACAGGTTTTTGTTCCAAAGACTAGACCAGATACGTGTGCATGCCTGCATGTGTAAATGCATATATGTTAGCAATTATATCTCTTTAATTTTCTATCTTATGATAAAAGGACCATATGCACTAGAGTCATACGAGATATATAAGAAAGGATCTGCATTTATCACATGAAACTCCATTTTGGGTAACAAAAACGTGAGATCCATAAACCAATGAGCAGAGGAAAAGACAATTAGCTAGGTTCCTAGTCTTTCATACAAAAGAAAAATTAAGGTAAGGGAGAATAAAAAATCTAGCTCTAGTCAGCCACTATCACAAATTTGATTTTGTTTACTCAAATGTTCCAAGGGTAACTATGCAAGAAAGTTCACCAAGTTCCATGAGGAAAAAAAGATACAGCCTATACAGAGAGCACAACGCTTTTCATCAATTCATTATCATATGTAATGATTGGAAGCCTGAGAAAAGATTAGCAAGAAGAATGGTGGGAAATACTGGCTCATACCACATCTCCTTATTATTCATGCATGAGAAGAGCAGTAAATCAACGAACAATTAAAGCTCCAAAAGGTGGTTTTCTTTATGAAAGTAGCCTGGGACAAGAAGTACATATAATCTACAAATAAATTTCGCTGGAAAACTAAAATCATTTCCTTTTAAGCATTTTTACTAACATGTTGTAGATCATAAAACAACCACATCAAATACATGAGCCCCACATGCACGTACACCTGCACATGCACGGAAAGCATAACACAGAGATATGAACTGAATCTTTCTAGATAGCTTGATCAAGAAATGCTGAGAAAGATAGAAAGGGTACGATACAAGTAACCAGTTCAAACTTCTGAGAATACATGTTACCTCTATTAACTCGAACTACACATCAAAAAGAGGTAGTCAAGCAAGTGCTCCTATAAGATGTCCCAGTGTTTAAGAGTTTATATTCTTATATTAGAGATCTTTAGTTCAAATTTTGAAATAATTAAAAAGATCTTTGTTAAGGGAAGCACTATCCAAATTTGTATAATTATATAATCAGATATAGAAAATAAATAAATAATAGAGTATAGAATTATAGGAAGATTTTCTCATTACCTAATTCTACCTAAGTGCCCCTAAAACATGGTAAGAGAAAGAAATGCAAGAAAAACATGTAATGATTTAGTGCATGTTTGGTATAGCTGGTAAAAAGCTCTTTTGGACTCAAAAAGCCCTAACTGCACCAAACATTATAATTTGTGAAAATTGCTATAACTTGTGAAAATTGCTACAACTTCTCATAAGTTAATCTTTTATTCATTTTATTGCAAATTTTAAAAGCACTGAATTGGTATTTTTACAGGAGCTTCTCATTTATATTTTAATGAAATTAATAAATTATTTTTATTTTATTTTTTTAATTTACAAAAATAACACTTCTATCATAATTTTTTTACAACAAAATTTTTATTAAAAACTCCAACTACCCAAATCGGCCACTTAACCTAACGACTAAAGAGCAAGCTTCAAAATGGTCTTGTGCGACTCGGCCTCTAACGCTTGAACCATGATTATAATCTTTGCAATCTTTTTGGAACGATAGGCAGGAAGGACTGAGCCAGCCCAAAACATAATCCTTTGGGCTAAGCCTGATGGGATGTATTATATTTTGAGCTGAAGGCTAAAGCCCAGTCTGTCTCAAAGGTCCCAACTTAACTTTTTCTAAGTGGGTTAAAGCCAATGGTAGTTCCTATATTTAGCATTTTAGTTCTCTAACATCCTTATACATTAAAATTGTTCATCGGGGTTTCCGATCCCTGCAACAGCGTTGAATTTCGTAGCTAATCTAAGCCCCCGGACTATAATTAATGCATATAAACCCTTAAACTCTGCAATCGAAGCAATTTAGCCCCTACTCTCACAGCCAACTTAATTGCTATTAACTGCTGTTTGCCCCTACTCTCACAGCCAACTTAATTGCTATTAACTGCTGTTTGAGGACTACCTTGTGTGGTGAAATATGGCCGTCTCATGCTTATGCGGCAAGGAATTTGGCACACGATTTGTCGACCTAGATGCAAAAAAAAAGAAAAAAGGAAAATGATTTAAAAATAATTTTTTTATATTATTTTTTTATACAACCTGACATATCATTTAAATAATTAACTTTTTTTATTCATGAATTTGTCTAACTTATGCTCTAAAGACATATGTTAAGAATGCAATATAACCATTTTTTGTAATAAATTTACGTTAAAAAATAAAAGTTAACCTTTAATTTTTCAACTATTCAATTAAATTAATTCATTTAACACTAACACCAAAATTAATATTAATTTTTTACATTTTTATATACATTTATGATTAAAAAAAAAAAGAAAAAACCCTTAACTTGCACTACTACAAGAATCTCATATTCAGACCGAATTATCAGTCTGGATATATTACAAATCGGTCTGAATATATATGGACCGATATTGGTCTCTATAGTTGATCTGAAAAAAATCTGGTATGAAAAAATATAATATACAGACCGACATAAAATTGGTCCGTATATATAAACTATACGGACCGAAATCGGTCCGGATATTTCAGTAAGAAATATAAATGTTTATTGAAAAATTGAAATAAGCAGACCGAAATTGGTCCCAAAAACATAATATAATAAAATAATAAAATATGTACGAACCGATAATGATCTGTAAATGTGGCGGAAAGAGGCATCGCAAATATATCCGAACCGGGATCGGTCCGCATATGGAGGACCCAGCGGCAATTTTTGAAACATGCAACTATATCCAGACCGGTTTCGGTCCGAATATCGTGGACTTGCTTGTAACTTTTCAAAGTTCCGTCTCCCAACCGACGCCATTCTCAAACTATATCCAGACCGTTTTCGGTCCGAATATTGTGGACTTGCTTGTAACTTTTCAAAGTTCCGTCTCCCAACCAGCGCCATTCTCAAACTATATCCAGACCGTTTTCGGTCTGTAAATATCTTCGAAGAAAAAAAAATAAAAACAGTAAAAAATAAAGAAAATAGATTTATTTTATTTAATAATTACACAATATTACCAAATAATACAAAAATAAATTT